ACCCTTTAATACAGTTCCTCATGTTGTGGTGACCCCCCCAACCATAAAATTATTGTCGTTGCTACTTCGTAACTATAGTTTTGCTACTGTTATGCATAAGGCGACCCCTGTGAAAGGGTCATTCGTCCCCCCAAAGGGGTCGTGACCCACAGGTTGAGAACCACTGGTCTATGCTGTGATCAGATATCAGGATTCAAAATACTGCCTTTTGTACTGAAATCCATTGTTTCAGAAGGACTCACGGGAGCCACCACTAAATGGAGAGGAGGAGCCAGGCCGACAAGGAACCCGAGAGATAAAAGCTGAAAACCATCTGTCAAGAGCAGAGCACCGGGCATGGCTTCCTAACGCAGGCCACGAACTGGAACAAGTGAATCACAAGGTGACTAAGCGTCTGAGGAACCAGGAGTAACAAAAATGAAATGTGCCCCTAACAGCCTTGGAACATTCAAGTAAGTGCTCTCATCCCCTCCCCCTGGCACCCACAGAAAAGGAGCTGCTGGAAGAGCCCAGGGGAGGCCCGGCTCACCCTTGAGACGTGGTCATGAAGAACAGACCACGGAGACAGAAACGGAGCCCAAAGGGAAAGGGAGCCAGAGGGTTGACGTGGTAGAACAACCCCGCGGCTGCGGAGCCGATTCTGACTTCGGGTGAGTGTCAGAGCAGAACAATGCACCCTAGCCTTCTCAAGTAATCAGAAAGTCTTTCTTTCAAGGGGCCTCTGGGTGGACTTGAATCTCCGTTGTTTCAGTTAGCAGCAGAAGGACTGGCTGCGGGGGACTGGCTCCAAATGGACAGCAAGAAGTGCTCCTCTCCCAGAGACTGTGATGTTGGAGTGGGGTACACGCACTGGGAGTGACTGTCTCCTGTGGGAGCAGGGTGGACACACATGTATTCTAAGTGTGGGAGGAAGGGGTCTGTGGTAGTCACATAAGCTGTTGTCAATTTGATAGAGACTGAAGTGGGAAGGGGTGGAGTTTAGCCTGTCAATAATGTCGCAGTTTGATTGGAGAACAAAGAGATAACTAGCTCACTGGAGGTGGGACACAGACTCACTCCCCGGGAGACATCCCTATGGAGAAGACACATGGAGAGAGGCTGATGGAGCCAGACCTCTGGAGCCTTAGAAGCCAAGTGGAGACCCCTGCCAGTGCCGAGAGATGCTTACCACACTGCTGGATCCACAAGACTTTCTGCCCACTGGCCTGTGATCTTCCTATATGCGGCATCATTGCATGTGTCTCATGAGTCTGAAGAGGACTTTGTAGATTGTTATCAGACATGTGGGCTAATGTCAGACTTATGGACTTCATCTGGACTGGGCTGAGATCTTTTCTCAATATTCAACTGCTCTTGTATATAAAGCTTTTTCTTATACACATGTGAGTGTCTATGGATTTGTTCTCTAATCTACCCAGACTAACACAGGGTCCCACAGAATGGGACCAGAATAGGTCAGCGAGCCCTCTTCTCTGAAAACATCTCTTCATTTTCCTGCCCCACTGCTCTGTGGGGAGGAAAAGTCGAAAATAATATGAGACTACAGGGGGTGCTTCAAAAGTCCATGGAAAGATTGTATTATCTTTTCATTCCTTTTTACCATAAACTTGTAGAGGCTCCTTCATATTTCTAACTTTCAAAACTGGCCAACCAAAAGGGATTCAATGTGGCAAAGCTTCGGCCAGAGAAAGGCAAGCGGTCTGCAGAAGAAAGAGGGAGGGGAGGATGCCTACTGAGGAAACAATTACAGCATTAAGGGAAGCATAGATATGGCCTCTGTATTCAGCGCTGTGTTATGGAGAGTGCTGCTCGCAGTTAACTGCAAAACCCTGCAAGACCTGCTGATGCTAAAGTTTATCCGATTCATTTCTTCTTAGAGACTCCTTTCATCTGGAATTGGGGGGTGGTGGGAGGGGGCGGGCGGGGATGAGCTCTCCTTGAGGACGCAGGTCATCCCAGCTTCTGTGGACCCTCAGAGACTTCTGTGGTCCTGGGCGTCCTGTGAGCTCAGGGTGGCAGCCTGGCTGATCCCCGTGAGGGTAAAGAGCACCCACCTGTACATGCTGAAGACAGTGTTGCCGTTGTGCATGAGGTACACGTACACCTCCTCCACATCCTCATGTTTCATCATGCTGAAGGTGAAGAAGTACACACCTGGAAAGGGCAGGGGACAGTCAGGTTTGTGAGAGTGAACATACTCTGTATTGAGAACCAGCAGACAATGGGGCGATGCCAAATCTCATCCCACTCCGTTTGTTCATGTTCCGCGTCGTATCTAGCTCCTTTGTGGCCTTTATTTGTATGAGTATTTTTCTTTCTCTTCGCAATGTCAAACTGCTTGAAATGCTATTCACTCTCCCCACATGTACACTGTGGGTCCCCAACGGGAGGACAAAGCCATGAAGGGAGAGCTAAGCATTGGCTACTTTTCACTGCCTCTCCCTCCCCTCTGACAAAGTGCTCAGGGCAGAGCATGTGCTGTGCTCGGGTCTACGCTAACTGCCATCAGCCTTTATCATGGAAGTCCTGCGGGGGTGCGGACCTGGCATTCCAAAACCCAATATACTTTGCCAAGTATAACCTTACAATAGAGGACCACACTCACCATGCCACAGGCACTAGCCAAATAGAAGGTGGTGCTGGCGCATTGAATAAATGTCTATTAGTTCTGAAATCACAAAAAAAGTTCCAGTCATTTCTCATGCTGTTCATGATACATGGGTAAAACGATAAGCAGTCAACAGAAATCTCAGCAGCATGGCCCGGGTAATGAAAGTCTGGATCCTCTTCACTCTCCAAAGACGAGCATATGTTAAAAGACGTGAATTTTCTTGGAAGAGTCCAGGACTCCTAACTGAAAGCTATTTAATATGTCCTGGGGTGATCTAAACGCCAGCACGGAAAATTCTGTCCATGAGTGATGAAGAAAAATCAAAATCAGACACACGAGCTAAAGGGAAATTGTCTTCACTCCAAATTGTCTTGGGTTTGGGAGGGCATTTGGGAGAAGCAAATCCAAGTGAGCAAGCTCTCATTGATTGCTATGTGGTTTCTTTACTAAAGGTCTTGCAGGGAAAAATCCCAGGAACACCTAAAAAACGTACTGGTCAGTCCCAGCTACCTTTTCCAAAAGTACAGTCAAGTAAGGCAGAAGCTGTTGTCTCTAAATCAGTTGTCTCTACTCACAAGCCTAGAAATTGGCCCTCAGATGAAAAGTGACAGCAGATACAAATTATAGAGCTCTAGGAAAGAGGTTTAAATATGTTCAAGTGTTGTATATTTTATAAAACTTCATATTATCCATTCTAAACGCCCCCCCCACACACACACAATTTCAATGCTTCAAGAAGATAGAATTGAAATAAAAATGACAGGAAGGGATATTGGTTTTTCTGGGGGAGGTAGGGGAATGATGAGTACTATAAAAAGCAGATTGCAAAAACAGTTCAGAAAAGTGCAGATTAAGTAACCAGATGATGCGTAAATGAAAGGCCAAGAGCTGGAAATACAGGAGTTAATATGTCTTCTACTCACGCACGATTTTCCTCTACAAGAATAGATGCTGAAACCAGAAGTGACAGGCCTGCACTGTGGTTCTTTTTTTTTTTTTTTGTTTTTTTTTTTTTTTTTTTTTTAACTTTTTTTTTTTTTTTTTTTTAAACATTTTATTAGGGGCTCATACAACTGTTATTGCAATCGATACACACATCAATTGTGTAAAGCGCATTTGTACATCATTCTCAAAACATTTTCTCTCCACTTAAACCCCCGACATTAGGTCCTCTTTTTTCCCCTCCCTCCCCACTCCCCCCTCTCTCATGAGCCCTTGATAGTTTATAAATTGGTATTTTGTCATATCTTGCTCTGTCCGACGTCTCCCTTCACCCACTTTTCGGTTGTCTGTCCCCCAGGGAGGAGGTCACATATAGTTCCTTGTAATCGGTTCCCTCTTTCCTACCCATTCTCCCTTTACCCTCCCTGTTTCGCCACTCACGCCACTGATCCTGTAGGGCTCATCTGCCCTGGATTCCCTGTATTTCCAGTTCCTATCTGTACCAGTGTACATCCTCTGGTCTAGCCAGACTTGCAAGGTAGAATTCGAGTCATGGTAGTGGGAGCGGGGAGAAAACATTGAGGAATTAGAGGAAAGTTGTATTTCTCATCGTTGTTACATCGCACCCTGACTGGCTCATCACCTCCCCGAGACCCCTCTGCAAGGGGATCTCCAGTGGCCTACTAATGGGCTTTGGGTCTCCACTCCACACTCCCCCCATCATTCACTATGGTAAGATTTTTTGTTCTGATGATGCCTTATACCTGATCCCTTCGACACCTCATGGTTGCATAGGCTGGTGTGCTTCTTCCATGTGGGCTTTGTTGCTTCTGAGCTTGATGGCCGCTTGATTACCTTCAAGCCTTTAAGACCCCAGACGCTATACTTTTTGATAGCCGGGCACCATCAGCTTTCTTCGCCACATTTGCTTATGCACCCATTTGTCTTCAGTGATCCGTTCGACACCTCATGATCACACAGGCTGATATGTTGTTCCATGTGGGCTTTGTTGCTTCTGAGCTAGATGGCCGCTTGTTTACCTTCAAGCTTTTAAGGCCCCACACTGTGGTTCTTAGATGGCTCTTTGCATGAGTGTCATGGAAACTCAGTCTTCTCTATCTCATCACTCCCAACATTGAGACATATCAAACAGGCATTTTGAAATCTACTGGATGAAATTTTAACAGTAGCAAGAGAGCCAAAGGATGGTCAATATTGTTGGAATATGGCGCCCAAGAGAATTCTAGAAAGGCATCATTGCACACTCTTAGGATGCTTTTGATTCTGTTCAGGTCATACTTAATAACTTTAGTAACCATTTTTGTTTGCTTGCTTTTACATATCTGGGTTTTTTCATGTTAAGATTCGTGTACTAAGAATCTGTCTGGCCTGCTTGTTTCGCCAGGATCAGAAGGAATTCTTCACTCCTTCCTTCCTCTCTCTACCCCACCTTCTCTCCCCTCTGCTTCCCTCACTGCTCCCCCTCATCCCTCTCTCCCGTCTCCTTTTACTCCCTTGTTTTCCTTCCCTTATCACTGGATTGATTGATCATTCCTTTACATTTACATCTTACCTGATACCGGGGCCCCAAATCGACCAGTCATGACATCAAAGAAGTTTCCAATGTTGGTCTCCACACTGCTGAAGATAATCCCACTGTTCTGATTGCTGAAGTGAGTTGCAAGAGAAGCCATGAATGCAATCTAGAGAAAGAGTTGGTTATTAATTAGCACGCAATTAGCATGATTTGGGAGAAGAATGATGACGTTATCTGCTCTCGTACAGATTCATTGCCTGGAAAACCTTTGGGAGCAAGTCTGCTATGTCCTATAGAGTAGCAATAAGTTGGAATTGAGTTTGGTTTTCTTTGTAGTGTGATTTTACAAATAAACATTGGAATTGTAAATTGTATGAGATAGCAAGCAAGTTGAGAACAAATAAAAAGCAATCTAGACCTCAGTGTTCAAAGTCTACAGCCCTGGAGGAAGGTTGAGAGTGCTTGGGAAGGCTTCCCATACATACAGTAAAGTGCCATCCTTAATTTTTTTAACATATCTTATCATTTGCTTACTTTTTAAAAAATATGCAAGCCTTCTCAGGCTTAGCAAATATGTAAATGTTGACAGATAAGACATTGTTAAACATTTTCTGTAACAAAAAAAATTACTTAAGCAAAATTTTTAAAACTATAAACACATTGGTAATTTGTATTAGAGACAAATGCTTAATATTCTTAACCTATATAATCCTTAACCTATATACAGCAGCTAAGATCCAATAAGGATATAGGTCAGCATTTCTCATAAATAATTTTCATTCCAACTGAAACAATAAATCACTTCACTCATCAGATAGATATAACACATTTGCTTGTGTATTACCAACTCTCAGCATTTCATTTGTTCCCCTCCTGGATTCTTAATTATCAAATAATGCTGGAAAAATTGTATTATACCCACCGTCTGTAACTAGGCAGTAAACCTGAGCATATTCTGGAATCTGAGCAGCTGTCACGAATTGAATTGTGTCCCAAGGAAACATGTGTCAACTTGGCAGGTTCATGACTCCCAGTATTGTGTGCTTTTTCTCAACTTTTTGAGGTTATATAACTGTTTTTCATTTCTAAGTTATTAATTCTAAATTGTACATGTTAATAAGACAGCATTAATGTAGGCTACATCCTGGGTCCCACTCTTAAAAGAAGGCTTCTGCCTATGTCTATCTATATGAGATAGGCAGAACAAATAATCCCAAGGAAAAAAACATGGGACCTGCGGCTGCAGGGGACATAGGAGAAGAGGGTGGGGAGAGGGAGTGGGGAGCCAACAATCTCAGGGATAAGGAAATAACAAGCGATCTAAAGTTGTTGGCAAGGAGGGTATAATGCCCGGTGGAATTTGACCAAGCTCAATGTATCTTGAGAGGAATTACTGAGAGCTGAATGTATGGTGGGCCTGATAGTGGGACAGGAGGAAGGTGAAAGGAAATAGAGGAAAGAACTAGGAGGCAAAAGCTATTTATAGAGGTATAGCTATAGGCATGTGTATATGTAAATATATTAATTTATAATAAAATGGATAGAGGACAATGTACATATATTTATATGTTAAGTTTTAAGATAGCAGACAGACTCTACTCAAGTCCACCCTTAACATAAAAACACTGTCCTAATAACCGGGCACTCTTTTAAGACTCACTTTCCGGACACGATCACTGAAGACAAAAATGGGTGCTTAAGCAAATGTGATGAAGCAAAATAGTGAATGGTGCCTGGGGGCTTAAAGGCTTTAAGTTAAACAAACAGCCCTCTAGCGGTGAAGCGAATAAGCCCACATGGAAGAAGCACACCAGCCTGTGTGATCATGAGGTGTCGATGGAATCAGGTGTCAGGTATCAAAAGATCCAAAACAAACAATTATATTGATGAGAACAAGGGGGGTTGGGGTGGAGACCCAAAGCCCATCTGTAGGCAATTGGATATCCACCCCAACAGAAGGGTATAAGAAAGGGATGATTCCTGAATGCTTCCTCCCCCACCCCATCCCACCCACTACCGTGATCCAGTTCCAGCTTACAAATCTCGCTAGACTGGAGAACACAAATTGGTACAGATAAGAGCTCTCGACACCCGGATAAACCCCTCAGGAACAGTGGTGGGAGTAGCGATATCATGAGGATAGTAGGTTGGCCAGGGAGGGGGAAAAGAGAGAAAGGGGGAACCCATCACAAGGAATGGACATATAGCCCCACCCCCAAGGGGACGAATAACAGAAATGTGGGAGAAGGGAGACAAAGGCTACTGTAAGATACGAAATAATAATAATATATAATTGATCAAGGACTCACAAGGGTGGGAGAGTGGGGGGGGCAGGGAGAGTGTGAAAAAGAGGGGCTTACACCAAAGGCTCAAGTAGAAAAAAAATGTTTTGGAAATGTTGACAGCACCATATTGACAAATATGCTGAATAAAATTGATGTATGGAATGTCATAAAAGCTGTAAGAGCCCCCCCCCAATAGAATGATTTTTTAAAAAGAAGGCTTCTGAAGAGCCCCAAGAATAGACTTCAGGCTAGGAGGGGCAGTCCCTGGGACCCCGCAAGACCAATGGGAAATAGTCATCAAGGTGAGTGGGCAGACCTGGGATTATCTATGCTTTCTCTGTCTTTTTCCCTCATCGTTTTTTATATACATATATTTTCTCTTTGTTTTTTTCTCTTTTTTTTTATTCAATCTTTTGTTTTCTTTTTGTACTGCCTACATTATGGTTGGTTTTCCTACCTATATAAGATAAGCATGGGAAGCAAGCCTGAGGATAAAGCAACTGGACCAGCGGTTCTGGGGGGATTTAGAGGGAGGAAGAGGCGGGGGAAGACAGCAGTAAGCAAACAATGCCATAGACAAGGGAACAACTGGGGAATAAAAATCAACAACCAGGAGGATGTAGAGATCCTGGGGGTGTTGTAGCAACAGCAATCCAGCTGAGAGGAATTACTAAGGGGCAGAAGAAGGGTGAGCATGATGGTGTGTCAGCAGGAAGATAAAAGGAAACAAAGGAACAATCTAGGAAGTAAAGCTATGGATAGAGGTATAAACATAGGTGTGCACTTATATTAATATAGTAATTGATTAAAACAGAGGTATTGGCCTATGTACATTTATTTTATGTCAATACATTGAGGAACTGGATGGACTTTGGGTCTCTGCTCAAGCCGTCCCTCAGCACAAAACACTTTGTTCTAACAACCTGGCATTCTGTGATGCTCACCCTGCCAGTACGATTGCTGAAGACAAAATGGGCACACAAGCAAATGTGGTGAAGAAGGTGGATGGTGCCCAGCTATCAAAAGAGATAGCATCTGGGCTCTTAAAGGCTTGAAGTTAAATAAGTGGTCATCAAGCAGAGAAGCAAGAAGCCCACATAGAAGAAGCACACCAGCCTATGTGATCATGAGGTGTCAATGGGATCAGGTATTAGTATACCCAAAACAAACAAACACACACAAACACAAAAACATTGTTGAGAACAAGAGTGGTTGGAGCAGAGACCCAAAACCCATCGGTTGACAATGGGACATCCACTCACAGAAGAGTCACAAGGAAGGAATGAGTCAACCAGGGCGCAGTATAGCACTGATGAAATACACAGTATTCCTCTGGTTCCTTGAGTCTTCCTAACACCCCACTATCATGAACCCAATCTGCCTTTCACTGGGCTAGACCAGAGCATGTGCACTGGTCCTGATAAGAGCTCAAGACACAAGAATCCAGGTCATATAAACCGTCAGGAACAGAAATGGGAGTAGCAATGCCAGGAGGGTAAGGGGAAATTGGAGAGAAGAGCAGGGAAGAAACCTTGGGGGAAGGGAGACAGCGGTCTGTGTTAGAAAATAATAATAATTTCTAATTTATCAAGGGGTCACGAGGGGGGGGGGAAGGTAAAAAATTGGAGCTGATTAGGGCTCAAATAGGAAGTAAATTTTTAGAAAATAATGGTGGCAATACATGTACAACCATATCAAGCTGGGTTTTAATAATTTTATATAGGTGAGTGACTTCATAATACTCACTCCTGGTTCATCACTCAGGGAAAACACTCAATGTTTGTATGCAATCACGAGCATTTAACAAGAGATGTTCTTGCAGATAGCTTCCTACGTACAAAGTCTATACAAAGCTTCCCTCTACACCCTCCATCCTCTCACCTGAAGTCCTGTATCAGATCAAAATAATCTTGTCTGCCTTCTGATTAAACAATAGACTAAACTAAATATGTGTATATGTAAGTATAACTGTGTCAAAGGTTCTCAAAGAATGTTTTGAATTTAACGGTGTTTGGTTTTTTTTAGGAAAAGAAATAAGGTTAAATAAATAAAAAAGCTGGGTGGTACAGAATCCTGTCTTCATTATCTGATGCTCCGATAACAGAAATACCACTAGAGGGTGACGTTAAGGGCCTGAGCTGCTTTTCTCAGGGTTTGTTGTGGTTGTTAGGTGCCGTTCAGTTGGTTTTGACTCAGTGACCCCTGCCCAGCAAAACAAAACTCTGCCTGGTCCCGGGCCCCCTGGTGTTTGTTCCAGTGTTGGCGCCCATTCTTGTAGCCCCTGTGTCAATCGCCTTGGTGACAGTCTCTTTCTCACTGTCCCTCTACCTCACCAAGCATGATGTCCTTCTCCAGAGCCTGGTTTCTCCAGACACCACCACCAAGATATGTGAGAAGACGTGCCTCTAGGGAGCATTCTGGCTGTACTTCTTCAAAGACAGATTTGTGTGTCCTTTTGACAACCGACGATACTTTCAGCATTATTCCCCAGCACCGTGATTCAAAAGCATCGACTCTTCTTCTTCTTCCCTCTTCCTTATTCTTCCATATTCTCACAGTGTCAGAGGCTAAACGTCCAATTTCAGGCTCTAAGGGAAGGCTGTCTCTCTCTGTTGGCTCTGAACGAAGGTCCTTGCCTCTTTTGAATAACCGTGAGCTCGGCATTCCTTGGTGACATCCATGTGACTTGGCACCGATCTTCCCCTAGGCCTAAGAGTTTCTCAGTCTAGGGACCTAGGGTTTAAACACAGGCTCTGCTCCTCGGTCTTCTTTCTTGGTGTTAGTGAGCTCTCTTTCTACGTCTGTCAATGTATTGTACTCTGGTGGCTTGTATGTTGCTGTGATGTTGGAAGCTATGACACTGATGTTTCAAATGCCAGCAGGGTCACCCATGGAGAACAGGTTTCCGCATACCTTCCAGCAAGGAGATGGATTGAAACAGTGGGTGCAACAACACAGCAAAGATTGTAAAGATGGGTTAGGATTAAACAGTGCTTCATTCCCATAATCATAGGTTCCAAAATGTGGAAGAACACTCTCAGCATATCTGAAACTGAAAGAACTCAAGAAAAAATGCAAGCCTCAAATTGAAACCTTGCAAGATTCTATAGGCAAAATTTGAAGGATGCAGGAAGCATCAAAAAGATGGAAAGAATACACAGTCACTGTACCAAAAAGAACTGGTAGCCAGTCCACCATTTCAAGAGGTAGTACGTGAGCAAGAAGCAGTGGTGCTGAAGGAAGAAGTCCAAACTGAACTGGATGCATCAGCCAAAAACAAGACTCCAGGAATTGACAGAAGACCCATTGACATGTTTCAGAAAGCTGAATAAGTACTGGAAGCACTCAGTGATCTATGCCAGGAAATTTGGAAGACAGCTACTTGGCTGACTGAAAGATTCCATATTTTGCCCATTCCAAAAAGAGGTGAACCAACAGAATGCACTAACTATAGAACAATATCATTGCTATCACACCCAAGTAAAATTCTGCTGAAGACCATCCAACAATTGTAGCAGTACATTGACAAGGAGCTGCCAGAAGTCCATGTCGGATTCAGAAGAGAACATGGAACAAGGGAAATCATTGCTGATATCAGGTGTATCTCAAAGTAGTGAATACCAGAAAGATGTTTCATTGACTGTGGAAAAGCATTCAACGGGGTGGACCGTAATAAACTGTGGCTAACCTTGAGAAGAATGGGAATTCAGAACACTTCACTGTGTTCATTCCGAACATGTCCATCATGGATCAAGGGGCAGTTGTGCGAACAGAACAAGGAAGTCCTGTGTGTTTAAACAGGACAGGTGTGTCATTGTTCAGTCTGTAAGCTAAGCAATCATTCGAGAAGCTGGATTAGATGAAGAAGAATGTGACATCAGGAGATGACCCAACCTTGCTTGCTGAAAGTGAGGAGGAATTGAAGCCCTTGCTGATGAAGATCAAGGACAGTCGCCTTCAGCATGGGCTACAACTAAGGTGAGGAAAACCAGAATCCTCACAACTGGACCAGTAGGTGACTTCATGCCAAATGGGGAAAAGGTTGAAATGGCCAAAGATATTGTCTTACGTGGATCCCAATCCATGCTCATGGAAGGAAGAGTAAAGAGATCAAAAGAGGTATTGCATTAGGCGAGTCTGCACCACAAGTTCCCTGTAGAGTATGGAAGAGCAAGGATGTTATTTTGATGACTCAGATGTGCCTGTCCTGAGCTATGATATTCTCCGTTGCATCACATGCATGTGAAATTGGACATTGAGTAAGGAAAACTGATGAATGCATTTGAAATGTGATGCTGGAGAAGAATTTTGAAAGTCACCTGGGTAGCTAAAAGTTGTTTCTTCTGATCGATATTGGAAAAAGTAAGGCCATCGTGCTCCGCAGAGGCATGGATGGCAAGACTTTGTATCACATACTTTGGACATGTTGTCAGGAAAGACTAGTCCCTGAGAAGCCCATCACGTTGGTAAAGTTGTTCATTTTGAACTCTACTTATATGAAGAACAACGCAAGCCTCGTGCAGACACCCCACTTGGAGATGAACAGACTGAGACCCAGGCTAACTCAAGGTTTGTGAAATGTGTGGAAGCTCTCAGGCCCTTGGCTTCTGGCCTCTGGTGACCAGGGCAGGTTTAGAGTCACCCGGAAAGGAAAGGAGCCCGGTGGCACTGAACCACTGAGGTGCTAACCACAAGGCAGTAGTTCCAACCCACCAGCTAGTCGCTGCACTTGGGAAAAACGAGGCTGTCCGCTCCTCTAGAGATTGACTGTCTAGGGGACCTGTTGAGGGCATGGCAATGGACCTAGTGGCAATGGGTTCAGAGATATGGGGAGGGTGGTTTACCTGAAGTTCCGGCGGAATGCCTGGGTAGCCCTTCTCTCCTTTGGGGCCATGCTGTCCTCGCTCCCCTCGTGGGCCCAGGTCACCTTTGTCTCCTTTCTCACCTTTGGCCCCTTCATGCCCAGTGGCCCCATTATTGCCGTTGTTCCCATGGTTTCCTTAAACAACCAGACAGTGTCACTTGAGAACGCCCGCTCACTGCCCCGCAATCACACCACCATCTGTTTCTAGACAAACACAGCTGGGACACCTGAAGTGATTGCAAATCCAGCCCCTCTCTTCCGTAGGATCTTGGCCCCCTTCCCAATGGCACACCAGGCTCCGAAAGCACCTCTGCTCTCTGGGGCTGCAGATCTCTCTGTGTGCTTTGTTTTCCTTGGTTTTAACTTTAAGACAAGTCATACATGAAAAATTGTGTAGAAGCTAATTACCCCATAATCATAGGAGCAAAAAATCCTAAATGTCCATCAACACGGAAAAGGCTAGATTTAAATTTTTTTAAAAAGGTAAATTCTCATTACTGCTGGGAAAATAAAAAACTGAATGATATATAAACCCACTTCATGGGTTGTTTTTTTTTTTTTAGATAAAATAAAGGTTATGAATCAATAGGGAAACCATGATACTATTTTTGTTTGGAAAAATATATAGGAATAAACTGTATTCACTGGGGCCAGGGGCCAGAATAGATTGCATAAAAATAGTTGAGGGGTTTTGTTTTGCTTGGTTTCTGAGTGGGTAAACCAGGAGTAATTTTTAAAGCCATTCTAAATACTTTCTAGTCTTTCTAACATTTTCTATCACGGACATGTATCACTTTTTTAACTGGAGGGAGTGGTTGAACAAAATCATGGATAAAAAAATAGATAAAAACAACATGGAAAGCACGACTCAGGCAATTTCAACTCTTTGCTTGATTTTGCCATGCAAAGACTATTTTTAAATCTCTTTCTGTAGTTTTCTTTTTGCTGAATTCCGGGCCCTTTTGCTGCTTATTTTGCACGCTCCTTCTGGTCAGGTGTCGTACCAAGCAGGCAGTCCCCTCAGGTGGGTGCACTTTGGCAGTGTTTACAGATTCATGCACCTTAAAGAAGAGCCTTGTGGCATGCTTTGTCAAGCATCATGCTACTGACCTCAAGGTTGGTGGTTCAAACTCATCAGCTGATCCATGCTGAGATTAGATGCCCCCATAAAGGCCAAGAGACTCAGAAACCCTTAGTTGGAATGGACTCCGTGACAGTAGGTTTCTGGTGCTCAAATGGAAACCAGGGAGCTGACCCAGTCCTAGAACTTCATAAGAGTTGAGACCTGAGAAAATTTTAGAAGCATCTGAATATCCACTTTTCCTTTTACATCACCTCATAGGCTGCCTGATGCCCTTGAGGTTCAACAACAGATTCCAAGCCAATAATCACAGTTTAAAATCGAATTTTAAATGAACTTTAAATTTGGATTTAAAGGTAGGCTCTTTTCAAAAGTATAAAATTTGACTATCACTTGACAACTATTCTTTTATTGTTGTACAAATGCATACAACATGACATACGAGGGGGTATCCTCCCAAAAAACGATTCTCATTTGCTTTTTTTTTTTTCTTTGAGGTGAGGGGGATAATGCATTTGGAGTTCATTCCACCAGGTCAACCTGTTAATCAAGCTTTCTATTTAGAGGTTCTGAAAAGATTGCATAACAGTGTGTGACAAAAAAGACCTGATTTGTGGCAGAGGGGAACTGGTTTTGCCACTATGACAATGCTCCTGCTCCAGTTTTTGACAAAAACCGTCATCTCAGTGATCCAGTTTTTGACAAAAATACAGCATGCCTGTTTTGCCCCATACACTTTACTTACCCGACCTCACTCTGTGCAGCTTCTTTTTGTTTCTGGGAATGAAGAGGGACATGAAAGGACAGTGATTTGACAACATCAAAGAGAGGAAGAAAAAAATGAGGGAGGCGCTCTCAGCTCTCCAAACAGAGGAGTTTGAAAAATGTTTCCAAGAATGAAATCAAAGATTTGACAAATGCACTAAGTGTAATGGAGAATATTTCAAAGATGATAAGGGTGTTTTGTAAAAAAAATTAAGTACATAGCTTTGGGGTAAAAAAAAAATTGGTTTTCTTTTGAGTACCCCCTCTTATGCCAGTTCACCATTTTTCAGGTTTACCATCTGGTGATACCAATGATAATGTGACTGTTATAAATGTCAATGAAGAGAAGTCAGACAGGAACAAGTAGCATGCTGCTGAACCCTAAGAAGAGACTCTACTAGGGTTTTTCTTGAGGGGCGTAGACAACAAAAAGCCCAGCACAGGGGGTCTGAGGTCCTGGTGCACAGGGGCCTAAGTTGCCCTTTCCTCAGCAGGTTGAAGCTAGCACATTGCAGAATATTCCTTTGCTTGGCAACATAGAACCAAACATAGAATTGACTGTGAGGTGTGTTTAGAGGGGTCTTGGGGTAGCTCCACAACATTCTCCCTACCACACAATGGTCCAGAAATGTTTCCATGGGATAATGTGCCCTGTGGCAGAAAGACTGAATCACAGAGTCGATGCCAGTGAGCATTAATAATGCTGGTGAAAAGTTGCCCCCTAAACCAGCTTAGGAGACTCAGCCCTCCTACCCAACTCTCTTTCTTAGGGATTGTCTTTGCATTCCCTTTAGATGACACACAAGTGATGGCAGGGCTTTGCTTTGTTCTGGCCTCTTCTTTTAGAGGGTCTATGGTTAGCCTAGCAAGCACACAATTCTTTCTTACCTGGAATGCCAGGGGCGCCCGGAGGTCCAGGGGGTCCTTGGTAGCCTCGGAAGCTGTAGTCTCCATGGCAACACTTGCTGCAATCTGGGGGCAGTCCTCCAGCTTGGGGTGACTTTAGGGAGATAGAAAGAGACGTTTCAGAGCAAGATACCCATGGGTCACTAGGATTTTCTGATTTCTTCTGGTGTTGACTCCTAGGTGAGTCTTGGTTTAACTTCAACTACCTTACAGTAGCATCAGAAAAAGATGGTAGAGGGTGGAGATGCCAACGTCTATGATCACAGAGTAGCTAAGGAGCATTGGGAAGGTAACAAGAGAGCCAGCATAAGAACAAGTTTTTTGGAAAAGGGTGTGAGAGGTGCTAAGGGCTGAGGGATGGGGTAGTGCTTCAGGGAAGTACTGTGCTGCTGCTGATGTCCTCCAAGGAGGAAGCCCTTAGAGAAATCCAGGTGGAAATAGTCCTTGCCTCTCTTTCCCAACCAGCAAAAGCCCCAGTATAGCTGGATTGAGAAGATGACCCTCAAATTACAAGAATTACCAATTTGTAATACATTTATCAAGCACTGCTTATGTGGCTTTCGGGCTGCTACTGTGAGGCCAGCCGTTCAAAAGCACCAGCTGTGGGAAACAGATTTCTCCGGAGTTCTCGCCCCTAAATAGATGTTAGACTTAGGACACTGCATCAGCAAATGGTAAAGAATTGTCAAGTTATCTCCCTGAAGGCAGTCGGTTGCCAGAGTACTACTGTACTGTCTGGGCCCACCACAAAAGGGGCCCACTCCCTGTAAAGGACAATAGGCTACTTCTCCCTAAAGGCTGGCGGCCATTAGTCTGGTCCCTGTAGGTGGGTTTACACCCTACTGATAATGGTTGCTACAGTGAGCAGAGAACAGGTCGAACCTGCTCAGTGACATCCAAAGTTAGGCTGCCATCCTGAATCTAGGGTCCACCGATCTTGTCACATGTATATCCCCAATCCCACCTCTTCCTTCTATGTGGATACCCCTAGATTGCCCCCCTCCCATTACTGTATTACCTATAGCACAACCCTTTCCTGTGATGTATATCTTCACCTGTAATTAGGGGCTTGCATGTCCCCAGAGAATATAAAAGCCTTGGTTAGCAATGAATCTCTCTCTCTCCATGTGGACCACCAAGTGAGGCTGAGGTGAGCATGCTACCATGAAATGTGTCTGACTCCATTATTTCAATCTTTCTTCTATCTCTCATGCTCTCTATGACTTTACTATAATCTTTACTTATTATCGCTGTACAATTGCACCTACCAGACTGGTGATGATGTATTAGGGGCTGGTTTCCCTCACAACCAGCCACTCCATGGGAGAAAGATGAGACTTTCCACTCCCATAGAGGGTGACAGTCTCAGAAACCCATGGGGCAGCTCTGCCCTGTCCTGTAGGGTTGCTATGAGTCAGCATCGACTCGATGGCACGGAATTTGTCTTTTTTTGTTTTTGTTTTAAGGTGGCACAGACAGCTTAGCGCTCTGCTACTCACTGAAAAAATGGCCCGACCTAACAAGTCACCTTGGAAGAAGGGCCTGGCAATCCACTTCCCAAAGATCCCAGCTTGCTAAGAGATAAAGCTCAGGACACGTGGAACCCAGGAAGAGGAATGGGAATAGCAATACCGAAAGGGAAGGGGGTATCGATCATAGTGAGTGGCACAAAACCACACACACACACACACACACCCCTCCAGGGGAAGAACAACAGAACCCAGAGGAGAAGGGAGACCGTTGTCAGTGTGAGATATGAAAATAATAACAATCTATAAACGATCAAGGGGCTCCAAGGGGTGGGGGGGAAGAGGAGTTGATCCCAAGGGCTCAATAGAAAGTAAATGTCTGGAAAAGAACGATGGCAATATATGTACAAATATGTCAGATACGATTGATGTATGGATTGTCACAAGAGTTGTAAGAGCCCCCAATAAAAGGATCTTAATTAAAAACAAGAAAACCCTGGAGGACATTTGACTCTGATCCTCTCGGGCTGGCCCAAAGTCAGAATCAACTCATGGCAAATGGCTTGCTTGTGTTCAAGTGTATTCATGCTGGAAGCCCCGGGGTGCAAGCAGTTACTGCTCTCTTGACTACTAGCTCATAGGTTGGAGGTCCACTGGAGGTATCGCTGACGAAAGGCTTGGTGATCTGTCTTTGAGAACACCAGCCATTGAAGCCCCACAGAGCAAGTTCTGCTCTGACGCACATGAGCTGGCCCTGAGCCAAGCCAAGAGGAACTGGTGTCCTCATGATGTTGGGTTAAGAGTTGATAGCTCTTAAACGCTGGTGATAAGGCTGGCGTTTCAAACGGACACAACCCATTGAAATTAACATAAGAAATTTAAAGAAATATCCATTAATCCAACAAACGTTCATTAACTAGCTACCTTTAAAGTAAATTTAACTTGTCAATAAGAGGTAAACATGATGTTCTGCTTCATATTCCACTTCAAATCTTAAAATCATTATCACATTGAATGAATCAATGTTGAACAAATTACTGTAAACTCCACATTGCCCTTGAGTCGGTGTAAATATTTATGGGAGTAGTCAGCCTATCTTTCTCCCTCAGAACGACTGGTGGCTTTGAGCTAGCAATCTTGTGGTTAGCAGTCCATTGCCTAGCCCAAAGCACCACCATTAGGAGTACTTAGAGAGTAGTCCTTGCCGGGTACTAAATATACTCAAAGATGACACTGAGCTAAATGCTTACTTATGTGAAAATCAATGTCTACAATCCATGCTTACCACCAAGGAGCTTGAGCTCTGGTGGAAGGTGATTAGCAAGAGTTCAAGGTGCTTATAAAATTTTGACTTTCCTCTAAATTGGCACATTGCCTTTTAATTCCGTCATACAAAACTTTTGTGGAAACTTTTCCTGGACATCCCTTATGACTCAATGATATTTTTGAAAACAGCCGTCGTTGGCAAAGGTTTCACATAAAAAATGAAGGGAAAGAGGGAGGGAAGTAGAGAAAGGGAATTTAAAGTTCAGGTTTTCTACATCTTTAGAAATCCAAGCAAAAACTAAGAATATCCCCTCGGCTGCACGTTTCCACTTGACTTTTTAAAAGCAGCTTAGACATTTTCTTTACTCTTTTCTCCCTTTTTTCTTAAAGGTCTCCTCCACCAAGCTATTCAGGGAGAACACAGAACACTATTTGCAACTCAAGGACTCTCCTGCAACAGCTCACAGCCCCGAATCCCCAGTGACCAGAAGGTCGCCACCGAACACGAATCCCTGGTCTGGTCCCTTCTTCACCAAGACCAGCGCTGGGCCTGTGGCCGTGGGCACCGATGACAACCTTTGTCAAATGAAGGAAAGAGAATCTGCTAGAGGAGCTGGCCTGAGATCAGAGATTTCAAGGCACTCGGAAAATCAAAGACACCGGGCACCGCCCCACCTCCAAACCAAACATGTAATCTGAGGCATCTTCCATGGTGTCTTGGTCTGGTTTTGCTAATGTGAAAGACAGCCTTTGCAACCCCCAAGACACCCGGGGCTCTGCCAAGAGTGGATTTAAGGGGAAGAAGAAGGGAGGGGGAGAAGGGAAAAATTCTGAAGTGGAACCATGTGCGTAAGAAGAGAATTGAAACATTGCAACCCTTGAAAATGTCAGAAAGATCATGGGTGGGACCCAGGGCTCTGGTCTGGGTGGTGCGTGACTTTGGTGAAGTCACTGTCTCCTGACATCAGTTTTTGGAGTCGGTTAAATTAGACATTCAGATCAGATGGTCATAAAGTTGCGTTCCAGCTCTAAGATGCAAACAAGAAACGGAAGTCTTTCGTAAATGGTCACTTCGAAATATTTTGGCTTAAAAGTCTATTGTTTGGGGAGGAGACAGTATTTCTAACAAGGCTGAGGTTCCTTGAGGGCACTTCAAGGGCATAGAGCCAAACAACAAGAGAATCCGGGGTACAACTAGTTGGGTGGCTCCTGAGTACCCTCCCTTCCCCTGAAGTTTCATCTGGGCCCACCTCTGGCCTTGTCGTTCAAGGATCAGTCACACGGACCAATGTAGCTGGAACAATGCTGCTGGGTCCATGGAGAAACTCTGAGACCCACTTAGAAAGAAGTGTGCCTCTAGATAAGAAAGGAATTACTTTCTAGGTAATATATGTCTGTCACCTTTAAAATTTATCAACCACTTTCCCCAAATGAGATGGAACAGGTACAGCAGGGCCATTCAAATAGATGAGAGGGAGGAACTTTCTCTCTAAGACAAGTTCCACCCACTTTGCAGAGGAGGTTAGGTGCAGCTACTCAGAATTGAGTCCCACGGTGGTTAACTATGGAGTCCCTGGGTAGAGCAACGGATGAGTGTTTGGTTCTCAATTGGAAAGCCAGCCATCCAACCCACCACCAACTCCTCAAGGGATCTGACCTGCTGATTGGATCGTGCAGAGAAAACAGGCTAGTATATCCTATACCAAAACTTGCCAACTCACTGCCATCGAGGCCATGCTGACTCATAGTGACCCTGTAGCGCAGAGTAGAACACCCTGTGAGTTCCTGAGATAGGCCAGTAATAGTCTGTCATAGGCGTCTCTGTGTGTCCTATCGACTTGATGGCACGCGTGTGCACACACATAATTATTAAGCGAGGCCTCTAGTTGGCTCAGATGGTTGTGATCTGATCAGCTTGATAATCTAAATATAGGCAGTCGCAACCCCCGTAGCTGCTCCACAGGAGAGCAGCCCTGGAAATGTGCCTCCTTCAAGATTAAAACCTATCGAATTCAGTTCTACTCTGTACCCCCTGAGGTCACCATGAGCCAGATCAATCCAATGGTTATTATTAAGTGATGTCATCAGAGGAGGATCTTTAAATTCAAGGACAGGAAAGAGCAAGGAGAAGGAAAGTGTGAAAGGGGGTGGCAGATGTTCAGGAGGATGAGAGGAGATTGACAAAGGGAACTGACACGACTACAGAGAAGAAAGCATTGGAGTCAAAAGTAAGTCGACCCTAAGCCTCTCTGCCTAACTCCCCCTAAGCCCACAGCCAGAGTTATCTCTCTAGAACACAAGCCCGATTAACTCACTGCCCTGCTGTGAAGGAATGAACAAATCCACGGGTGAAATAAGGCCTACGCTCCTTAACCAGCAATCAGAATTGATCCCAGCCTGCACTATGTCCCTAACATGAAAGCCTCCCTGTCTCCTCCCAAGGCCAGAAGCCCCAACCACACCAACGCCTCTCGGGTCGCCTCAGTCTCTTGATTGTGGCACATGTTTCACTGCCACCCCTCATGCCTGTCTCATCGTTTAGGATCCAGCTCTGCTATCACCACCACTGACACCTTTGGTTCACTGACCTAATCACATTGCGTTTAATTATTGTCTGATTGATCCCAACAAGATTCCTGCTGCTGATAAAAAGGCTGAAGCCTTGATCTTAACATTCTGAATTCAAAGTCAAAGCAAATGAGGAGGCTTTCTGCTCCTACAAAGATTTACAGCCTGGGAAAGCCGGCGGGGGATGGGGCGGGGGTGTGAGTGGTTCTGTTCTGCCCCATAAGGTGCCTTTTGAGTTAGAACTGACTCAACTGCAGTGGATTCGGTTCAGCCTCAGTCCTACCAAAGAGAACCCTGGAGGGACAGTGGTTAATGTGCTTGACTGTTTATCAAAAGGTTGGCAGTTCTGTGGGAAAGAGATGTGGCAGTCAGCTGCTGTGAATTACTGTAGGGCCACTGAGAGTCAGCAATGGGTGTGTTTGGTTTAGAGTCCTTCTAGCCCCTCAAACTCAAATCCTCACTGCCATGGAGTTGATTCAGACTCATAGTGACCTTTTAGAACAGGGTAGAGCTGTCCCTGTGGGCTTCTGAGAATAGCATTCTTTATAGAAGTAAAAAGGCTCATTTTTCTCCCATAGAGCAGTGGGTGGTTTGGAACTGCTGACCTTGGTGTTAACAGCCTGATGCAGAGCTACACCACCACGAGGGCTCCTGGATGGCAAGATGGGTTTGTGCTCAACTCCTAACCTGAAGATTTGATTTACAGCCACCCAGTGGTACCATGAAGAAAGACCTGGTGAACCATTTAGATTATAGCCAAGAAGACTCCAGGGAGCAGTTAGTTCTAACCTGTAATACGAGGGTTTATGGTGAGACTGAATCTCCTCAACGGCACAGGTTTGACTTCATTTGGAGACTGGAGATGAGGTGCTTGGATCTCTCAACCCTCAGTCCCCACCCCAAAGCTTGACATGGAGGAGAAGCACAGAGAATGCTTGATGTGTGAATGAATGACTGGGTATAAAACAAGGAGAATAAGATCAAAGAAGGGGAAGGAGTGCAGAGAAAAGAAAGAACGAACGTAGCGTAAGTACAATCTCAAAATTCAATTAGGGAGACTATCCATTGACAGCTTCTAGGATGTCAGTGACTTACATCTCCATCGTATCTCCTGTTGGGGGTTTATCTGACAACAGTCAAGAACCCAGGATAGAAGGTTCTAGCAAGGTAATAATGCCCCCCGACAACTGATAGGTGCCTCACACTGTGACTGCCAGGAAAGCTACTATGTTTTGAGCTGGCAACAGTTTCTGGGGAGTTAATTCCAACTCATGGTGGCCCCATGTGTCCCAGTAGAACCCTATGCCATAGAGCTACTTTTCCCCATGGCTAATTTTGGTCTCATAGATCACCAGGTCTTTCTTCTGAGGTTCCTGTATCTGGGCATGCACCGCAATAGCAGCTCACACCACCCAAGGGCACCATTGACATAGGAAGGCCACAGCATCTCCACTACTAACACACCTTTAGCCCCAAACTGTCCAATGAAAGGATTGTCTTCAAAAGTGCCATTCAACATGCAGGCATGTCCTTTTTCCCGTGGCTCCCTAAAGCAGAGTTCTCCTCCTGGCGCAGAGCAGCATGGGTAGCTGTGCCATGGGCTGCTGAATCTGTGCCCTGATCTGCAACTGTGTGTGATCTCTGTCTACTCATACATACATCCCAAATCTGTACCCGAGCCGCTCGTTCTGTGACGAGGGGTTTACATTTCTACTGCACAAATGTTTTAGGGCCCCCAAGCAGTCCATCAAATTCGTTGAGAGATGATAGCATTGGGAGCAATCCTTCCCTGTCCCTCCACATCTCCTTCGGGATGTCTGAAGGTAAGTCAGAATGTGTCTCTTCCTGTTCTCAATGTTTTAAGTTACAACTAGGTTGCTGGAGCCTTGTCTAACACCTCTGTAGCTGTTGTTGGGGTCGCAGGGACCCTGTGGGCAACAGAAGGAACCACTGCCTGGTTGTGTACGCTCACTGTCATTGCTAGGTTTGAGCCCATTGTTACAGCCACACTGAATGAGTTCACGATGTTCCCATAGATGCTGAACTCATTTATACTGAAGCAAAAATAAGCCCTCCGCGCACATCAGGCACTGCATCGGACACTACAGTTTGCATTTCAAATGTGTGCAGTTCTTTGTGTTTTGTTTTAGCTCTGATTCCATTTTGAACAGGCTGGGCAACTTACACTCCTGTAAACACAGGCTGACTTGAAATGTAAGTGGCCCAGCTAGCCGCCTCACAGCAGATTGCTTTTGACAAACTCAAGGGGCAGCTGCTCCCCGCTGAGCAGTGTCAAAGAATCCCACCTCTCTCTTGCTGGAGAGAGGCCTTCTTATCCACAGCAATCTGCAGAGGTCTGCAGTTCTCCTGGGGCACCAGCAGAGCAGGAAAGCAATCAAGTTAGGATACTACAAGGGTGCTGGCTGCCCGTACACCCCCTTTCTGATGGCCTGGCGAGACGGCCTCTTTGGCACAGCATAGCATCCCTCTGCTGGTTTTTCTATTCAGCAGAGGCTAACAGTCCTACTTGCCTATATATACATATACACACATATATTATACATTGTATATATACATTATATATATAATGTATTACATTGCCACAGACTCAATTCCGAGTCATCAGAACCCTGTAAGAGGGAGCAGAACTGCCCACTGTGGGTTTCCAATGCTGTAAATCTTTTATAAGAGCGCAAAGCCACATCTTCCTCCCGTGAACCGGTGGATCGGTTTGAATCCCCGACCTTGGGGTTCACAGCCCATCGCATAACCCACCGGGGCTCCTCCCCCGAAGCCCCACTCGCAACCCAGAAACCCGGCAACTAATTTCGAGAACTCCTAGGATGCATCCATCCTAAGAATCTGAGCTCCGAGTAAAAGCGAACAAGGCCCAACCCCATTCCGCGTTGGCAATCATCCTTAGAAGAGAATGCTGAGTACCTGGGCCCAGAGTGGGGCGATCTGGGCTAGGTCATCTACCTCGGGGTGCGGGAGCTCAGCCGGTCCCAGGGGCTTCACGTCTGTAGACGTGGTATTATCCACAGTCCCAGTTCTAGGATGGCTCCTCTCTCTCACTTTCTCCCTCCGGGCATGGCTACGGCCAGTCTGCTGGTGGCTTTGCACTATTCTCGCCACCGCTTTCTTAGCTCTTCCGCTCACCTCCATGTATTCGTCTTGGCACAGGCAACATGGGAGGAAAAGCAGAGCCAGCAGGTACCAGCGGACGAGCTGCCCTCGGAGCATGGTTCCCAGCCGCGCTGCAGAGCCTCCGGGCCCGAGCGGCACAGAAGGCTGCTTTTATCCCGGGATGGGTGATAAATGAGGCCGCCCCGGTGACAGCGGAACAGCCCCCTCGAACCGTTCCCACGCCCCCCCCCGAGGGGGGTGGGAGACGGCTTGCTGCGCGCCCCATAAATGTCACACCTTGGCACGTCGTGGGGACGACTGTGAATTCAGGGACCATCCGCAGCCAGCTGGCAACAGAGAACGTGTGTCCGGGGCTGTGCTTTCGCCATCTGACACGGGAAGCCTGCGGAGGAGTCGCGGGCTGAAACGCCTTTTGGAAAAACCGACCTTGGCGCTTGCCAGGAAATTCCGGCTTCGCTGCCCTCCACCCTGTCCAGGGAGGGGAGGGGAGGCACGGGGCAGCCTCGGAAGAGCTCGGGCTGGCTGGAATGCATCTGCTCCTCCACTCTGCACCCCACCCGGCCCACCCCCAGCCCCAGCCCCCTCCGGGCGCCAGTGAGCGCCCCTGCATGCGGCCATCAAGGGACTAGCGAATGGGTTTGGCTGCTGATTGCAAGATTGCAGTTTGGGGTCCATCCAGAGGTGCCCAAGAACTGAGGCCCTTGTCCAAACTCAAACAACAAACACTGCCAGCACGTCGCCGCGGACAGGACAGAGTAGAACTGCCCTCGGGGAGTGCCGAGACAGGAGTAGAAAGCCTCGTCTTTCTCCCCTCCCCCAAACTCACCACGTGAAAGCCCACGGTGGCGGGAGCACACAATAGTCACCAGGAATGGAACTTACCTGTTGCACGCCAGCCGGTTCCAGGCCCTGGGTCTCTGGGTTCCATATAAGTAAATCCCCAACCTGGCCTTTATTTCCCTTTGGCTTGAGTTTCTATGGGCCCAAGCGAAGTTGCCATTCACCAGGTCTCTTCCTGCCAGGTGAACAAGTCACCCTGATTCATAGGAATATGACTCCCCACTTCATTCCATAAACCTACCCTCGAGTGTCTAAAATGTCCATTATTAGCACTGTAAAGGTAAATATCCCCCCACCCCACACCCCCACCCCCTGGGAAGAGAAGGTTTGTTGTCCCAGGCCCCTGACCCGTTCCTGCTTTAAATGGAGGAAACAGGCCTCTGGGGCAAACGTCAAGATGGAGAGGAGGATGCTTTTTATTGTATTTGCGCAAATCAAAACCAAACTCACGGCCACCGAGGCCACGCTGACTCACAGCAACCCTACACGACAGGGCAGAGCTGGCCCCCTGACTTTTCCAAATTGTCCCTCTTTACCGAAGATAAAAGTGTCCTGTTTCACCTGATGGTTTGGAACTACCGACCTTGCAGGTAGCAGCTGAAGGTGGCACCCACAGAGCCACGTGGGCTGCACATTTACAATGCCACCCTTTCTGGATTCAAACAAAGAGCAAATCATGAGCGGCCCTCATCCCGATAGAGGGTGGAATGCACAGCAGCTTTGCCATGAAGAGAGCCTTCATGGACCGGCTCTTTCCTTTGATGCGCCTCACTCTCTCAATAAAATGTCACTGGCCTTCGGGAGACGGTGTGTGACGGCCATGGGTGAGACCCTGGGGACTTAGAAACGTAACTGGTAAGTGTCTGAGGCTAAGTGGACAAGGGTGGCACTGTCAGAAAGTCCAAGCGTGGAGAGGCCCAGCCTGTTTTGGAAGGGACAGAGCAGCTGGCAGGGCGGGCTCACAGCTGCGCGTCTCACTCAGCAAAGGCCCGAGAGCCGCTCCCTGAACTGCCCGTACTAGGCAGAGTCAGCCTAACACCTGCCCCTGGATCTCACGCCTGTCGGTATGTCAAACGGATGTGGGGCCGAGAGGGCAAGAGAATTAGCCAATAAAATAAAAACTCCCCCACTCACTGGTATAGGAGTCAAATGATTCCCAGTCTGAGAGCTAAGAAAAGCCTCCGGTGCCATTCCACTCGGCAGCATGAGTTGCGATGAGGCGCCCCCGTGGTGGGGCTGTTAACAGCAAGGTCCGCATTGTGAAAGCACCAGTCACTCCAAGTCCAAGGAAGAAAGAGGAGACTTTCTACCCCCACAAAGAGTGGCAGTCTCGGAAACCCACAGGGCAGTTCTCCTCTGCGCTAGAAGGTGGCTAGGAATGGGAATCGACAAGGAGTCTGTCTGAGTTGGAATTGGCTGGAAGTGATACCACTTGGGTTTGGGCTTCAAAGAAGGCACTTCCCACCTATTGGGAGTATGACTCCACCACTTCATTCCATAAACCTACGCTTGAGTGTCTGAAGTGCCCTTTATTATCACTGTCAAGGTAAATACTCCCAGGAGTGGTGTTGTTATTATTATTAAATGCCATTGAGTCCGTTCCAACCCCTGGTGATCCTATGCAAAACCGAACGAAACTGCCCAGGCCTGGGCCACCCTCACAATTGTCCCTGTGCCTGAGCTTAGATGCAGCCACAGTGCGTGCAGCCTCTTCTCCCGAAGGCCCTTCCTCTTTTTCGCTGCCCCCCTACTTGACCAAACATGATGCCCTTCCCCAGGGACTGGTCTCTCCTGACAACGTGTCCAAAGTCTGTAAGGTGATCCTTGCCTCTAAGGAGCGCTCTACCTGTACTTCTTCCAAGACAAACTGTTCATCCTTTCAGTAGTCCATGATACTTTCAATATTCTGGGAAGGATCACACATCATATAGCATACCAGTTTCCCAAAGCAAAACTCACAGTACTTTGGAGCAAACTTTCCTATGTACAAGGGATCTTAAGTGATGAAAACCAAGGATGTTCCTTTGAGGACTAAGGTGTGGCTGCCCCAAGCTATGGTATCTTCAAATGCTTGTGAAAGTTGGACCTTGCATATGCTTGTGAAAGTCCGTGGAGAAGGACATCATGTATGATAAAGTGTGGGGCAGTGACAAAGGGGACGACCTCCAACAAGAGAAGCTAACACAATGGCTGCAACCATGGGCTCAAACATAAACCATGGTGAAGCTAGCCCAGGTTCCAAGCACTGCCGCATTCGGTTGTGCATAAGGTCCCTGCGTCAGAACAGACTCCCCCGCACCCAACAACATCATAATCTTTATGGGAGCAGGTTGCCAGTTCTTCCCCCTTGGAGCCTACGGCTAGAGGTTCCAGTCTATTCAGAGACTCCTCAAAAGAAAGGCCTGGTGGTCTACTTGAAAAGAATAAGCCACTGCAAACTCTGTGGAGGATTCTCTGACCAGGCAGAGTACCATGCATCCCAGGACTCTACTCCAGGACCACTGGTTTGGTTCACCAGCCAAGCACTTCCTTGTGCCAGCAAGCACTTCTTTGCTTGGACACTGACTTCTCCTAGCAAACCCTTTCTCCCCGTTTTGTGCACAAGGAAACAGAGACTTGGAGAGGGAAGGAGGCTTGTCGGGAATCACACAGTTGTAAGGAAATGGTCAGGATTTGACTCCTGGTCTATCCTCAGCATCTCAGTTCTCTTGCCTCTCTCCTGGGTAGAAGAGAGACCAATGCCAGGTGACTGCAGAGAGAATGAGGTCAGTTACCTGGACATCTGTCTAGAATCTGGGACAGAGAGCACTGATGGAAACTTAACTCCATGCCCCACCACTTTTACAGATGAGATGGCAGTCTTAAGAGATCCGGCCAGTCATTCAAGGTACATGTTGTTGCTGTGGGTGGTGAGTTGATTCCAACCACATGTGAGAGTCGGACACCTTTTTTTACTTGGATCCACAATCAACACCAAGGGAAGCAGAATCAATAGATCAAAGGACATGTTACATTGGGCACATCTGCTGCACAAAACCTCCTTAAAATGTTTTTCTTGATTTTAATTTATTTATTTTAGCTATTTTATTGGCATATAATTTACATATCATAGAATTCAATTGTTCAATCATATAAATAAGAGTTGTGTACAATCATCACCATAATCAATTTTAGAATATTTTCATTAGAACATGGGAGTCATCATTATTAGTTCCCCATTTCGACACACACCCCTCTACTTACCCCCAAGGAATCATCCCATCTATCTTATCTAGATAGACCTGCAGAGATAAAAATATACACAAAAACAAGACAAAGCAAAATAAAGCAACAAAAGAAAACAAAAAGCAACAACGACAATTACAAAAAATGGAGAAAAGCCAGCAAATAGTTCAAGGTCTGTTTGTTGACCTTTAGGAGTATTTTCCAGTTGAATCTGATGGGGTGCCATGCCCTTGCCCCCACGTCTATTTTTGGTATTCCCTCGGGACTTCCTTGCTCTGCTCCCCTTACTGTTCTGTTGCATGCCCTTATTGTTTTGCCTCGGTGTGGTGGGGTCAGATCGGGCATAATTCACACGTTGTGTCTCCAGTGTTGCCCCCTGCAGGGCTATGGGTCAGTGAGGGATATCCTGTCTCATAATGGGGCCAGCTATATTGTCCTCTCTGTGCATTGGCTGCTTTGAGCAGGGATATCATCCTCCAGGCTTGGTGGGCCAGGATGTGCTCCACTCTCTCTTCCTCCCCCTTCATTTGCTCCTGTGTGCTCTGATCAGACCTGTCCCTTTCCCTGAGCTGTAGCTTCAGTGCGGTCCTCTGAAGTAAATTTTTCTGGGGATGGAGCTCCTGTCCACGTAGTAGGGATTGGGGCCACCTCTCAGACCTCTCTACTGGTTCCCTGGTTCATGCCAGTATGTTGCATTCACATCTTGGAGCACCCAGTTGAAGCTGTATGAAGCAATATACTTCTTTTTAAATCATTGTATTGGGGGCTCTTACAGCTCTTATCACATTACATACATACATCCACTGTATCAAGCACATTTGTAGATGTGTTGCCATCATCCTTTTCAAAACATTTTCTTTTTACTTGAGCCCTTGGTATCAGCTCCTTGTTTTTCCCCCTGCCTCTTCCACCCTCCCTCCCTCCCTCCCCCATGAACCCTTTATAATTTATAAATTATTTCCATATCTTACACTTACCACTGTATCTCATCACCCATATTTCTGTTTTTTTGTCCCCCTTGGGGAGGGGTG